CCCATTTCTCCCCTCTGTAGGAGACACCTCATAAATTTGTGATCGCCGTGCTGATGGAGTACATCCGCTCTCTGAACCAGTTCCAGATTGCAGTACAGGTACCTCTGAGTCAGCATGTCGCCCCACGTTAGAGGGGCGCGGGGGTATTTAAGCAAAAACACAGTCAGTATGGTAACTGGGACAATCGCCTCACACGCCACCAGGGGCCGCACACCTGGCTCGGACCTGAGTGGCATTCCTGACGTGACCAGAGTTCTCAGTAGGACGATCAGCGTCACACTAGGCTGGGTTCTTTTCACCTGCACGGTGAACCCACTTCTCTTATAGTCACGGAAACTTTCACCCTTCAGTTAGAGCAAACCGAGCCTCTAGTCCGTCGTGGTTGAGCGATGTGGAAACTGTCTCTCCCTCTGTCTCCGTCTCAGCATTACTTACACGAACTCGTCATCAAGACGCTGGTCCAGCACAACCTCTTCTACATGCTGCACCAGTTCCTGCAGTACCACGTCCTCAGCGACTCCAAGCCTCTGGTAAGGGTCACTGGGTTTTCACTCTGGCAACTTAAAATTCGACCATCCAACGGATTATGGTGAAGCTAATCTGAAAGTGTGTCTTTCAGGCTTGTCTGCTGTTATCTCTGGAAAGTTTTTATCCTCCTGCTCATCAGCTATCTCTGGACATGTTGAAGGTAACACTGAACATCAGTTTTAAACGGCACTGAAGGTGCTTCCTGTGGCTTGCACTGACCTGGGTTTCTCTTTCTCCCGTACTTCTAGCGACTTTCCACAGCCAATGATGAGATAGTGGAAGTTCTTCTTTCCAAACACCAGGTGTTGGCTGCCTTAAGGTTTATCCGGGGCATTGGTGGTCACGACAACATTTCTGCACGAAAATTTTTAGATGCCGCAAAACAGACGGACGACCACATGCTTTTCTACACTATATTCCGGTTTTTTGAACAGCGAAACCAGCGTTTACGAGGGAACCCTAGTTTCACACCAGGTGAGGATACAGCTGCAGGGAAAGGCCTGGGGCAGCCGCAGACTCAGTAGCAAGAGAGCACGAGAAGCTGGGGAGAGAAGCCGTGTGGTACGGAGAACTCCCGAGTTAGGTTTTGAAAAACAAAATTTCGTACCAGCCTACATAGTTTGCAGTAAGAGTGGATTCAGTGTGCTGATGGAACCTGAATTCTGCTCTGAACTGCGGTGGAGGGGAGTCTGGGTGACAGCTGGTCCTGGAATGTCCATTTCTGAAGAATCAGGAACAAGACAGGAGATGGTAGCTGAGGGTTTTAAATGGCCTGGGGCTTGTTAATGTTTGTTTTAGGCAGGAATCATTGGCTAACCACTTTTATCTCCAAAGTTATGAAATTCCAAGGCACCCTCTTTCTTAGGACGGGAAAGGAGCATAACTGCTCAGGCCCCCAGCTTCCTCGAGCTCGGGTATCAGCATGGGGTGGTGGTTCCCCCTCTGACAGGCGGGCCTCTCTGTCTCTGAGCAGGTGGCAACTTGCTGGGGGCTGCAAAGGTACCTGACCAGTTTTGCAAACAGAAACGACAACTCAAAAGCTTAGGGAAACAAAGTATTTTATGAAAGAAAAATAAGTTAAAACCCACTGTACACTGCAGCGCGCTGCAGCGTGTTCATTCTCTCGCTCCCTTTACAGGAGAACACTGTGAAGAACATGTTGCTTTTTTCAAACAAGTTTTTGGAGACCAAGCTCTCATGAGGCCTGCAACGTTCTGAGGTCACTTGCTAGTTTTTTTTATATATATATATATAAAAACATGTATAAAGTTAATTTATTGCATTAATAAAGCTCTTTAAACTACAAAATGTTGTAATAAAGAATATCTATGACAATCTTCCAATGTTACTAAAAATGTGGTATAGAACTTGGGTGATGGCTTGCTCCTAGAAAAGGAGAAACGTTGCATTGATTGGCCTTTAGAAAGTGTCAGTGAGCAGATGCCAGCCTCCCTCAGCGCCTGGTCCGTGTGCCCGAGAACCGAAGACGCACCCGGGTCCCGGGCTGCCTTCAGGTCCAGTAATACTGCTTCCCCAGTCCGAGTCTGCATTCCTGAGTTTAAAAGCGCTATGGCCGAAGCTACTGTTAACTAGCCTGATGTCTGGTCACATCCAGGGTTCAACCGGGCCTTGACGACACAGCCACAGTCCGGGGGTGACCGACCGCCCCACAGACACAGTCTCCCGAGCCCCGGGGGTGGGTGGGGAGCTAGAAGTTGAGGAGCTGCTCTCGCTCTGTGCCTTTGTATCGCTCTTGCGTCGCTAAACTTTTGGCTCTGTTTACTGATGGTCCTGGAAGGGATAAGAAGAATTAATTTTTGGATCATTTCTTTAGGAGAAGGAAGACAGTTTCTACTGTAACAGAACTTCCTATTCCCCAGAGATTTAGAAAAATAAAAACAAAACAAAACAAAACAAAACAAAAAAACCCCCAAAACCTCAAACCCCTCATTTTCTCCATCTATTTCAATGCTTCAGTTTTGTCACAAAGCTATAAATCAAGCAAGCTGGTACTGTCCTTTCAACCACAGGTCACTTACAGAAGCTGAAGTGGCCCTAGAAGAAGGGCCTAAGGAGAGCTCCAAGTTGGAGACAAACGGCGGGGCTGTGGGCTGACCCTTGTCCTTCACCCCTTAGCAGGGAGGTGCCACTGGGCCACCGACCCTCAAACTCACTCCCAGTATGATGGTGACGTCGGGCCTCCAGAAAACGTGTTAGCAGTTTTCTAATGAAGGCGTTTGGACAATCATGAAGCCCCTGGGTAGGAGATCTTCTCTTAGAATTAGTATTTTTTTTAAATTCAGTGTTACTCATTAAATGCCCATCACTGTAAGTACATTCAAACACTTCAAAAGAAAGCGCCAAGCGCCCAGCCAAAACAGCTCAGTTGGGAGAGAATCAGACTGAAGATCTAAAAGAAAGTGTCAAGGTGGTTTTCGTCTAGGATCACACCTCCCCCATCCCACTAATTTAAAAATAAGAACTCTTACCTATGTAACTGAGTAAGACAGGGAGGAATATTAACCCGTGAGTGGCTCCCAGTAAGACCATAGCTAAATACATCCTGAAGTAAAATATCTGGAAAATTTGAGATTTGGCGAAGGCCAACACCACAATGCCTCCAAATTTTGTTAGTGTGATCCCGCTGAATACCTGAAAGAGGGGAGATGGGGTTAGAAGCCGCTTTCAACAACCTGCTGTAATCGAACACTTCCTCATGTATGGATTTACTAGTCAAGGTCCAAAGTAATGGGGGACTGAACCCCAGCTTTCAGTTTCTACTAAGTAGCACTGTGCTCTGCCTAAAATTGTTTTCTTTGCCGCTTACGAATCTGGAAACCAAAAATGGGCTTTACAGGGTGCAAGCTGTGAAGTCTGCACAGACCCCACGGCAGCCATGCACGTCTGTCAGCACTGCTTCCCCAACAGGACCATTTTCAAACTAAGGCAGCTACTTTTTTTTTTTTTTTTGACAATGCTGTCACACACTTAATAGACTACAGTATAAACAGAACTTGCACATGTACTAGGAGACCAAAACACTCGTGTGGCTCACGGTGATACGTGCTTCACTGCAGTGTCTGCAGCCCATCTGGCAGTGTCAGGGGCGTGCCTGAGTTGTGTCTCTAACCTAAGATAATATATTTCTTTCTATGCTCAGATAGAAATTATCTGAAGTATCTAGAATTGTATGACAGAGTTTCAGTTTCGCTGTTACTCTGTAACGATATTTTCTGTGGTAGCAGAGTCCCTGGTTGATAGTTCAACCCTGTGTCCTGGCTGAACCTGAGAAGATTCCCCAGACGTGAACCACAGACCGCAGCTCCCCTGTTTTCAACAGATGGCCGGCCTGGGTTTTAAATGCAAGAGGGTTCAGGCTCTCAAATCAAACTTCTCCAAATTTCCTGCTTCAGCCATAGCGCTGCCTAAGAGGGAGCCCCCAGCAGAACGGTTCTAAAGACCATCAGGACACGGCCACACGTGAGATACAGCCAGTTCACGAGCTGCCTGAGAACCTGTAATCCTTAGTTAGGTGCTGCTGCTCAGTGAAACTGAATCCTCAAGTTCCTTCTCCCGGGGACACCCGTGTGCCGAGCCGGGAGGACTCACCGAGCTGCCCATGTGGGAGAGCGCCGCCTCCGCCCGCTCCACGCGGCTGCCCTTGGTGCTGACTGTGAATGCTCTGGTGATGTGGCTGCAGAACTCCACGGAGATGCCGCAGCTCTGCAACACAGGGCTCCCGTCACAACTGCGCTTCTCCGCTAAAACCCGTGAAAGCGGCCACCCCGCTCCCAGGACCTGTGCTTACCAGCCCCCCGGAGGGTAAGGAGTCTGAGCAGCCCCTCTAAGCTGTCAGACAAAGCTCCCGTCACCCCAGCTTAACCTGGCCTGGGAAGCACTCGCTTCCTCCGGCAGGTGTGTGTCTGAGGGGAGCTGCTGAGCGCTCTCGAGGCCACCCCGTCCTCCACCGAGCCAGCAGGCTGGCCTCCTTTCTTTAGTTGGGCCTCACTGCCACCCCACCCGAAGCCACATTCATACCAGAGGTTTCTATTTTCTCAAATGCGCACATTTTCAAGACTTAACTATTAAAAAGCACCTGGCAGCTACATGGGAGGCAAAAGGTACTGGTCAGAAAATTCCATCGGGAAGGGGCAATTCTTCTAACAGAAAAGCTAACACTTGCTGGCATTAGGCTGCGTATTTTTACAAACCCTTGAGAATAACACATTAAAGGCAGGACACCTACGCTGGATTGTGAGGTCACATTTTCACTGTTCCACGCACGGCCCACGGCCAGCTCCGGCCACCGCTCAGCCCACCCGCCCACGTGCGCCGGGGCAAGAGCCGGTCTTGGCCTTTCACCCCAAGAAACAATTCACTGAAGTGACCCAGGAGTTAGGGACAGACTGGGAGGACCAGGACTCACCATAACCAAGTTGACCAAAGAAACTGCGTTCAGACTGATGCCCCACAGCCACATGACGCCAAACATGTTGACCAGGATCATGGCGATGGTGACGCACACGATCACCGCCGACCACAGCTCAAAGCCCAGGAGAACCACGGTCACCAGAAAGATGGCTCCCAGGGACACGCCGAGGTTAAAGACTGTGTCATCGACCACCGTCAGGTACTGTTCATAGAAGACGTAGAACACACTGGACAGAGGGAGGAGGTTCTGTTACAGCTGGTTCTCACCTCTGGCAGCTGTGTTCCTCAGCCTGCTGCTGCGAAACTGAAACTGCCTTGAGGGACATCCGGCGCATAAATCCTCCCTATTTTTTCCAAGACTCACCTACGGCAATTCAGCACCGACACCTGAAGAAGGGCCTCCAAGATGTGCATTTTATATAAAGGTTTTGTTCATATGCCGGATCTGTTCTGCTTTATGGCATTTATTTACAAAGAAAATTCCATGGCATTTTGGAAAAACAAGACTTGGTCTCTTCTAAGGATTACCCCAGGTCAAGTGGGGCCTATGCAGGGCCTGAGAAAACACTTTTTTTGGCAAAGTTAACCAGCTCTTCCCAGGACTCAGGACACCCACTCTAAGAGGTCCTTACACAGAACAGGCCATCCTCCTGCTGGGAACACGTCAAGCCTCCCTTAAGTGAGATCACAGGGGCTGGGGGGGTAATCACTTGTTTTTTCTACTTCTTTTTATTTTCCAAATTCAGTGTATCAAAATACTTTCTTTTTAAGGGGAAAAAAGTCCCCAATAAAGGATAAAGAAAAATCTCCACAAAGGCACTCAGCAGTCAGGACATCCGTCCGTTACTAAGCAGGACTGTCAGGCGGGCCCTCGGTGAAGCTGGCTCTCCAGGTGCCACCGTCTCCAGCCCCCGCACTATTCTGTGCATCCCTCAGGGTCTGAGCTCCAGCCCCAAGCGCAAGCTGTGTGCCCTCTGCACTGAGACCTTGGCAGCTGCCCCAGATTCTGGCCGTCCTCACCCAGACACCGTTTCCCTGGACAGATTCACTGGAGCTCAGGACAAGCTGGTGTCAGAAGGAAAGCCAAGTGTCAGCCTCCCATGGCGGGAGCCCCGGGGTCTAGGCCCTTCCCAGGATGCTCCATTTACAAAACGCACAGGGCACCTGTGAGGGAACACACGGTACCTGTAAGGGAACACATGATGACCACTTCCTTCGAGGCCCATGGTCCTGGTGATGTTGCTGGCGATGAGGCGGGCTTTCTTCATGGCGTCGATGAAGTCGGCGGAGGTCTGCAGCACTGTGTGGTAGGTCATGAAGTAGGTGGCTCCGACGCCCGTGCCGTTGCCGAGGAGGTTAACAGCTGTGCTGTAGGCGGCGTGTCCCCTGTGAGAAAACAGTGCTGTCAGGGGCCACGCCCCATGCCACACCCACAGAATCTGAGCACTCGAGGCTGAGTGGTGTCATCTGACCCTGGGCTCGGGGCCGCTGTACATTTCAGGGCTAGGGAGGCCCCCGCAGGGGCCGAGCAAGGCTTAGCTTACTCTTCCCCACACTGGCTTTTCCATGCTGCCGTGGCTTCCCTGGCACACAGCTGCTGTTGTTTCTACAACTGGTTCTGCTCACAGTCAAGTGTGTTTCAAAGTTTGCTCAGCAATGCTGTGTAACAGGAGGCAGGAAGGGACGAGAGCCCTGGAGTCAGACAGTCGTGAGATCGGCCTCAGCCCTGGGGGCCTGGGCAGAGGTACAGGACTTGGGCTGCAGTGTCCCCTTCTGCCAACAGGCACACCAGCACCTCCTCACAGGGCCGGGCAGTGAGGCGGTGAGACGGTGTCGGCGAGGTGCTGGGCACGACCCTGGCAAGGAGGAGGCTCCCCGTGAGTGGTGGCCGCTGCCTTCCTACAAGGTGAATCCACTCTGACTTGTTTTATGTGGGCCGAGCATTTCGTCCGCAAGGAGACCAAGCTGCCAGGTTCATTTCTACCTTATTTTTAGGGGCAGTCTTCCCATGGTACCTTGGATAGATTTCAAAGCACAGACACAATATGTATGACTGACGGGACTCTGGTCAAATTATGCATTCTTATGAAAGACAGGGATGTCTAGGGTTTGCCTAATGTACACGGGGACACACCTTCCTACCAATGCGTCCGAATCCCCTCCCACTCCAGACATCGGCTGTCTTTGCTAATTTCAGCCAGAGATCCTGTTTCCCTGGGTCACTGGCTGCCTGGCTGGATAAGGGAGTGAGAGCCCATAACCTCGTGTGCGGACAGGCTGGCCAGGAACACAGCGGGGCTCAGAGAATCTAAACTTCATCTCAGACGAGATGACAAAGCAGAGGGGCTATCTTGTATGCCTTCGACGCAACTGAACGGACCACTTCACATTCTGGGATGCCCCGCCCCTCTTCCCACGCCGCCCCGCTGGTACCCTGCCCGGACTCCGCCTCCTCCGCACTGCCCGGGAGGGCGGGGGGCCAGGACACAGGAGGAGCAGGAGACATGAGTGTGGAGCCAGGGTGGCAGCAATGAAGGGTGAGGAGGAGTTTTCCTGAAAGGTGTTTGAGTTCTTCTGCCTTCCCAGGAGTGGAGGGACAGGGCGGGGAGTGGGCAGAGAAGAGGCCCCGCCCACACGCTGTTCCCACCCGTCCTCCCTCCCCACAACCTGAGCTATCCAGTGCAAGGTAAACGAGATGTGGGCAGGGTCTGAATGGCCCAGCGTCACTCACCCTTTGCCGCACTTGGGGTTCGGGTTATCAGAAAGGAACATGGGCAGGAATCGCATGAAGTCTCCGCCCTGAGGCCTCTGTTTGCCCTCCGGAGTCAGAGGCCGGCAGCGGACGCAGGCAGGGTCAACCACTAGTGCAAACACAGGGAGGGGCGCGGGGAGAGACACGAACAGGTCTCCAGGTTAGAGCATTGTAAAATAATGATAAAGAAACAAGGGGGATTCTTTTCCGGAATCTTCCTGCTTGTCGAAGAGCTCCAAACACGTGAGTTTCCTAGTCTAACAAACTCCAGGGCCGTCTTCATCTAACACAGGCTGTACATATCTCCTTCCCCAAAGCAGCTTTCCTGCTTTAAAGACAACCTCAAGTTGCGATAACCAGAGCCCAGGGTCTCCATGTTTTTATCAAGAAAATTCTAGCACAGCCTCAACACTTATACAACCACAGGGCCACAGCGAGAAACAGAGGAAAGCAGACCCCTGACAAGCTACGTCCAGACGCCAATCAAGAGAGGCCACTGGCATCACTGGAAAGAGATGAGAAACCTGAAAACCAGGGTCCCATGACCTGGGCCTCGTTCGGCCCGCAGCCCGCTGAGGGACAATGCAGCATCTCAGAGAGGACAACGAGGAAGGGGATGAAGACAAATGGAATGAGACCCGGCCGGGGCAGATAAATGCGTGGAAGTGAAATGCAAATTATTTTTAAATTATGTTAAGGTTTTCCAGAAAAAAGGGAAAGATCTGGAACAGGGTAAAGTACCTGACGCGTTGCAGAACTGATCCGTGCTGTTGTAGACTCTACAGCAAGACGACTGGGGCTTAATCCAGTCAAAGTAGTCGTCGATCCAGGACGAGGGCGCAAAGCCTATTCGGGTACTAGAGACAAGGAGAGAGGGTTACCCACGACCGGCGCAAGGAGGAAGTCTTCACTTTCAGTCCTTCTGCTTGAAACCCAAGACTTCTTTTTCTAGACCTTCTAATGCTACCCGGTCAAAAGACAAACCACATTAGCACTTCATGGAAAACCTTTCTAAGAATGAGGTGGTAAATCAGTCCTTTAAAAGGTTCAGCTCAGGTAAAGCTGGATTCAGCCTACATTCTGATAGACAGGTTTTCCAAGAAAAGCTGTGTTCAGTGAGAGCTCTCAGGCCCAGGGGACCAGCTGGCGGTACTAACTAGTTGTCCAGCTGAGCGGCAGTGAAGATCTGCTGCACCAGGGAGTCGTTGTCGCAGCCGGTGCCCCCGCACACCATGTTCTGCCCGCGCAGAGACGTGTAGTCGTGCCCTTCCTCCAGGACAAAGTACACGGGCGGGCCGGCGTGCAGGTACTGACTGAGGGACTGGAAATAATCCATCACGTAGGAGTCCTGACAGAGCAAGCACATGACAGGA